TTCCCTGCTCCAGGGGATCTTCCCAACCCAGGGATCAAACCTGGGTCTCCAACATTGCAGGCAGATTCTTTACCGTCTGAGCTACCAGGGAAGCCCAGCTCAGTTATAGTGAGCCCAGCTCACTAGTTGTAGTGAGTCTCAAATGAGATAATGTCATAAACTCTGTATTCAAAATGTGACAAATAATTAAGTTTTAATAAATATCAGCTATTATTTTCATCTAGTCTTCTGGGTCTCAACAAAACCTGGATGAGTGTTCAGCATACAGCAAAAAAGAGGATGAGGCAACAGCATTCACCAAGGGACCACTCAGTAGAAAGTACTCTTCATATATCATCTCACTGAATTCCAGCTTTCTGACTCACTATCACTGTGACCATGGGCAAGTCACTTAACTTCTGTACCTCAATTTTCTCATCTGTAAAAGGTAGATATAAAAATGATACTTATAAACATGATGCAAAGGTTAAACAAATTCATGTAGAGTGCTTAAAACAGCCCTGACATGCAGAAAATGACCGATAATACCAACTATTCTTATCATTACTATTAAATCCTTACTACCTTGAGAGGAGATATAGGGAACCTCATTGTATAGATAAGAAAAAATGAGGCTACAAAAATTTAAGCCACTTGACCAAGCTAATAACTGAACCAGATTCATCTGACTGTGAAAATCCATGCTGTTTATGAAATGCATTTACTGGAGAAAATTTCAATTTCATGCTAGGAAGTTATTCCAGGGAAGCCCTGGAGGTACAATGAGGTCCTCAGGTCCATCGCAGGTAAGGCTAAGAGTGAGGCAGGCCTGCAAGGTGGGCAAGAGGTAAGGCCACTGAGAGGCAAGAGATGACCTCGCTGGCTTACACAGCATGCAGAGAAAGATGAGCTTAATTGTGGACCCCATACATAGTCATCAAAGGACTAAGCAGGGGAATGACATGAACTGTAAGATATTTTAGAAAAAATACACTACCAACCAAATATTTGTGAGTGGATTGGAGAAAGGAGAGTTTAAGCCAGCAGACCAGTGAGAATGTCTCAGCTCTCAGTAAGGGATGGTGAGAATTGGACTTGAGGTAAGATGGTGGCAATATAAATGGAGGTGACGGGAAAGAACTTAGGAACCAGACACCAAGTGAACTTTGTGAGTAATTCCACATGAGATATGTGGGAGATATGAAAAGACAGAAATGTGACAGACAGAAAGGCCAAATCCAGATTCCTGGATTAGTGACTGAATAGATGATGGGGTCATGTGTGAGAAAAAGACGGTAGGGAGAGGAGTATGTTTCATAGTGGGGGTGGAATGTTAATCGTTCAATCATGTCCAACTCTTTGTGACCCCATGGGCTGTAGCCTGCCAGGCTCCTCTGTCCATGGGATTCTCCAGGCAAGGATACTGGAGAGGGTCGCCATGTCCTTCTCCAGGGTTCATGATGGGGTTAGGAGGCAAATAATAGGCTTAAGTTGGCACATGTTGGATTGGAGATGTTGTAGGTCACGTGAGCGGAGATGTCTCCTTACTGATTAGATATTTGGGTCTGTAGATCAGGAGCAATCTTTTGGCTGCCTACAGAGTTTGGGTCAAAATGCGTCTAAGCATCAGTGAAAGGAATGAATGAGGTTGTGAGTCCAAACAGAGTTTGGAGTGAGCAGGGAAGAGAGATGGGAAGGGAGCTCTGGGGAGCACCAAAACTAAGGATAGAGCGGCTTTGAGGAATGAGGTAGAGGAGATGAAGAGTTGAAGGAAGAAGGGAGCTTCACAGAGGGAGGCAGCACCCTCACCCAATGATGCAGAGGTTACGTGGAATAAACGCAGAGCTGTGGGAGGGGACATATGTATACCCATGGCTGATTCAAGCTGATGTATGGCAGAAACCAACGCAATGTGTGTGCGTGCTAAGCCTCTCAGTCGTGTTCCACTCTTTGCGACCCTATGGACTGTAGCCCACCAGGCTCCTCCATCCACGGAGGAGGCATGAATACTAGAGTGGGTTGCCAGGACCTCCTCCAGGGGATCTTCCCAACCCAGAGATCGAAACAGCATCTCGTATGTCTCCTGCGAGCTCTTTTCTTTACCACTAGTGCCACCTGGGAAGCCCGACCATCACAATATTGTAATTATCCTCCAATTGAAAATAAAACAAACAGAAAAACAATCAGAGCTGTATCCACAGCATCTGATATTTGATGGTAGTTGGGGTAAGAGTCAAATCACAAGGGGCTGAAGACAGACTGGGAAGTCACAGAAGGAAGCAAAGTGAGTACATTATTTTTCCTAAAAGCTTGACTGAAAGAAGGAGAGACAGGATAGCAGTGAGAGGGAGTTACCTGCCTCATCATTTTTAACATCCTTCACAGCAGTCCGTACAATACTTTGTAAGGATGCAGTTAGACATTTTTGAAGGGATGATTCTGTCATCTTGCCTAATTCTGCCCCTTTATCTCATTCCTTTTCTTCCATGTTTTCTCCTCTTCTCTATTAAGGGAGGTAGTGAGGCTGTTTCCTTGTTCAAATACTAGATAGAGTTCGCCTGTTTTTCCATGAGTAGTTAAACAGATTGCAAGCACTAGTAAATTCTGTATGCATTTGAAATCAGCCAAGAAATAAGAGAAGTCAGGCCCCAAGAACGATAGGTATCACTGAGAAAACAGAAGTGCTGTATCCAAGTATTCTTCTCCTTGGGCTTCGTGTCCAAATAAATGAATATATAGGAAAATCCTGTTTGAGGAACAGCAACAAAAAACTACCCAAAGCAAGATGGATAGCATTGGGTGGCTTCAGTGAAAATTTCAGTAGCACAGATTTGCAGGAAATCTAAGGCTACTAAGTATGAAAATGGAAGTGTTAGTTGCTCAGTCGTGTCTGACTCTTGTGACCTCCGTGGATAGTAGCCCACCAGGCTCCTCCATCCATGGAATTCTCCAGGCAAGAATACTGGCGTGGGTTGCCATTCTTTTCTCCAGCGAAGCTTCCCAACTCAGGGATCTAACCCTGGTCTCCTGCACTACAGGCAGATTCTTTACCGTCTGAGTCACAAGGGGAGCCAAGGGTACTAGAAACCTATTTAAAATGGAATCCTACTTGATCTTGATAACTAATGATAGTTCAAAGCATTGGGATTGAGTCTAATCGCTTGTTAAATTATGGTCACATATGGGAATTGCTTTTGCCCAGATAGGTTCTTGCTACAGAGCAAGAAGGATCTAATGAAGTTTGATCTTTGGATGCCTATCACCATGTATTATCAAGCCTATCATTTTCTCCATCAAAGAAAACACAGTCAGAGAAGAGGGAGAAGACGAGAGAGAGAACAATCCAACAACCTCAATCCATCTATGCATCAATTCAGGCTATTCTCCGTTATCTGTGTTCACCGAACAAGCACACATCATTTCATTTCTTGCTTTGGCTTCTCATCATATTTTTCAACTTTCAATATCATTTAGTAACATTCTTTTTTCCTCCAGGATATCTCGTGTCACAGGTGCCTTTTTCTTTCTCTTTATTACTTTTGGCAGTAGAAAGAGATTTTTTTTCTTCCTCTCTCCCACTGACCTTTGCCTGTTCCTAGCAAATTCATGGCTGGATGGCAAGAGCTCACATGGTCATACGCAGATGCAATTTATCTTTGCACGCAGTTGGTCTGCGTGCATGTGTCTGAGAAGTGTGCTCCTATTGTTTGACTCCTTTTAACTCCACTCAGATCTCTCTAATCACAGTTTGGAATTCACCTGAATTTCCCTGCTGTGAGAGCTGAAAACGCTGACATCAAGTTGCCAGGACCACTACAGCTCTGAAAAGGAAACAGCCCGTCTTTATTGGTGGGACCCGTTAAAAGATATGAATGGGCGGTTTTTTAAGTAAGATGTTGCATACACATGACCTTGAGGTGTTTGACAGTGACACTGCCCCACGTGTTGGCCATCTCCTCCATAATTAAAGAAATGCTTTGTCAAAGAAGGGAGCTGTTTGATTTTCACACCGAATCATTATTCCTGGAATTCAGAGCCCACAGCTTGCTATGCGCAATCCAATGCATAGAAAAGGTTCATAGAAATCTTTTCATGGGGTTAAGAGAGTCTTCAACATTCTAGCTTCATTCTTCTCTGAGGGAGAAATTTTAATTTCTTATGATTTATGTGCCCATTTTCAAGTTTAGTTTTTTTTTTCCCCTCAAAAAAAAAGTTGCTATAGCAACAACCACCCATCACAGGTTCTTCCTTGAGTACTTATAAAGGCTGCCTGTTAACAACAAGCAGATCCCAATGCCACATGGAAGGCCAGGGAAAAACATAAGCATGTCAGATGGAAAAGATAAACTCAATGTGAAAATAAGCAATTTTTCAAATAGCAATGGACGCACCCACTGATTAGATGGGGCACTCCATACAGATGAAGGTGGTTTCTCTACAACAAACAAGCCACCATTTACATGGTGACCAGGCTTGAAGGCCCTTGGGAGAGGTGAAAAAGAGGAAATGGGACTCAGGCCACTGCTGAAAAAAGTCCGAGCTCTGGCTTCATGCTTGTGGCGTGCTGGATGACCTGAAGGAACGTCCATCTTGAGAGAGCGGGCTTGGGCCTGCCGCTCTGTGGGCCTGGGGTGACAGCAGGACTCTGTCTAAGAACTGGGCTGTGTCCCCTCCCCTCCTGTGGGGGCAGCTGAATTGGCACAGACAGAATAGACTTGAGGCTGCCACGGGGGGCAGGGAGTAGGGGAGAATGGGGTGGGAGTCTGCGGTTAGCAGACGCAAGCTAGTACATACAGAATGGATAAACAAGGCCCCACAGTACAGCATAGGGAGCTATAGTCAATATCCTGTGATAAACCATGATGGAAAAGAATATCTAAAAGAAGAAAGTGTGTGTGTGTGTGTGTGTGTGTAACTGAATCACTTGGCTGCATAACAGAAATTAACACAACACTTTAAAGCAATTATACTTCAATTTAAAAAAAAGAAGGCTGGCCCACTGGGTGTGCTCCTTGACTTACCTCAAATTTCACTAATAACCTGTGTGCCGAGTACAGTCTCTGAAAGACCAGCAGGATGTGGACGCCATCTGTGGAACCAAAAAGGGACCAGTCTTCCACCCTTCTCTCCTCTCTGTGCTTCCACTTCCTAGGCCAGGGCCAGGGAGGAGGCCCTGACCTTCCATCCTCGCCCCAGTTTCACCCTCCACGGTTGTGGATTTGACATCCAGGCCGTAGCCCTCCCTTCCTTGCGTAACTGAATTAGTTTGAAGGAAAGCTGGCAGCACATTCCCAAGACTTGACTTGCTCCTCCCCTTCTGTGGAATAAGGAGCATACCTGGTCTAGAGTGAAGCGTCTTCTGAAAGAAGTGGAAAAGGGGAGGCCGGGGGAGAACGTGTCAAAGCCGCTGAGTCAGGTGCTGAGAAGAAAAGCTGAGTTTCCCCTTGGGGATTTGTCAGCAAGGCTCTGCCCTCTGCCCTCTGGGCCCACTCTGACCTTGAGTCACGCAGAGTCGGAGAACGACAGGCGAGAAGGCAGACATGTGTTCAGCCTCATCTTTTACAAACGATCCGAATCCAGCCTGCCTTGTGCAGTGCACAAAAACAGCCCTAGGTTTTCTAACAGACACACAAGAAAGATGCAGAAGAGAAGGAAAATAGAATGTCATAGGAAAGTCTTTGAAAAGAAAAAAAAAACATACTTTGTAGGGGTCCCCCCCTTCCTCCACTTTCTTAATGACAACAAAGGAATATTCATGTTTAATCATGCCATTCAAAAAGAAACATTACTGGGGCAAAATTTATATGAGGAAAATTTCCCTGTCCTGCATTGGTTTTATTTCAGACTGCTAGTTACTTTGAGTCTGTATTTTCAGATTCTTTCTTCAAATATCTAGGCCCCTGGGCAGATATATTAGCTCGTTTTATATTGAGAACCTCATTACATCAAGTAAAAAACCCTAAGCCTGATAAAATGATTTACCCCCTCAATTTAACTTTTATTTTGGTCTCCCACCAGCTTCCCTGAAGTGAGTTTGCTGCCAAGTTATAATACTATTTTAGACTGAGTCATCCCGGCACAACTGAGCAGCTTTCACTCTGCTCCTAATGTTTCCCTATCCTTGTTGTTTGAATAAAGAGAATGTGTTCTTCTATGGGTTTGCATTTGAAATGGTTACTAACGAGGGAAAAAAGAAAAAAAAATGGAGGCTTAAATCCAGGGTGTTTGGCCCCAAGGGAACACAGAGTCTCCTCCCTGCATCTCTACGGCTCCCTAAAGGCGGGTGGAGGGCTATACATTTTTAAGCTCTTCTGATGCCTAGAAACTGCTGGAAGCGCATGAAGGCAGTGATATATCTGAGTACACAATGCTTCATTTATTCATGGGGAGAAAGTATTTGGAGTCACTCAGAGAGGGTGTGCTTAGAGGCACCTCCTGGAAAAATTAAAAATAAAAATGAAACATTAGGTGAAGTCTTGCTCCAGGAAACTGGCATGCCATCATCAGCGTTGTGGGGTTTTGAAAAATAAAAAATAAAAACAGGAATCTAATGAGGGAAATTCAGATCATTCATTCGTTGATTGCCCCGACTTTGCCCGGGGGCAAAAGATGGTCCAGACTGAAACACGTACAATGATGATTTCTGGGGAGGAATCCGGGGTTTCCCAGGTGGCGTTAGTGATAAAGACCCTGCCAGCCAATGGAGGAGACGCAAGAGGTGCAGGTTCAGTCTCTGAGTCTGGAAGATCCCCTGGAGGAGGGCATGGCAACCCACTCTGATAATTTTCCCCAGAGAATCCCGTGGACAGAGGAGCCTGGTGGCCTACAGTCCATAGGGTCACAAGGAGTCAGACACGACTAAAGCGAACAACAACCTGATTTAGTTTCTCTGTCTCAGGGCCATTGTTTTATCCTAATCTGCTCAACTCCTATTCCTTCTCACTTCCTCCTCCCTCCCCACCCAAAACCTCAGCTCTAAATGAACTCCTGCAAGCAGCTCCAAGTAGTCTTGGTTTTGCAAGTCCCACTCTCGGGGTTCTGGCTCCTTTGGCTGTGATCTCATACGCACACGCCCTCCCTACACATCTAATTGATTTCTGTTGCTGGCTCTGTGGATGGGAAAGCCTGAAATATTTTCAGAAATAAAGAAGCAGCATCTAAAGTTTCACCCAACAGAGAAGCCCCCACCATAAAAGGAAATCGTGGATACTGAAGCATCTCTCTCATTGTTGGATGGCCCTGAGAGCTGGTTCGGTGGCAGATCTGAAGGACACACACTTAGGCGTCCTTGTCAGCAGAAGCGGCTCAGGCCCCATGTGTTGGGCTCCCGTGGTGAGCAGTAGGTTGAGCTGGAATGTGAAACAGAGCCAAGAACTCCAATCCCAACAGCAAAGAGGTAAACAGGAGCGGGGAGGGCGGGGGTGGGAAAAGCTGAGCTGCTGGGATTAAAAACACCTCGACCCAGAGTCGCCATGGGAAGCAGAGACAGAGAAAGGGAGGCATCACTAGAAACCCAGGGTGTCAGAGTTAGGTTTCTGCCGAGGTTCTGAACCAGGAAAACCAGAGGCAAGAGGGGACCGGTAGGTTCCTGTGTTGGCTGAGGCCACCCTGGGAATTTCAAACACAGCAAAGCGGGGCTGAAGCAGAGGTGGTCTGTTGCTCAGTCGTGTCTGACTCTTTGCGACCCCATGGACTATAGCCCGCCAGGCTCCTCTGTCCATGGGATTTCCCGAGGCAAGAGTACTAGAGCGGGTTGACATTTCCTACTCCAGGGGATATTCATGACCCAGGTATTGGACCCATGTCTCCTGCATTGGCAGGCAGACTCTTTACTCCTGAGCCACCAGAAAAGCCCACGAAGCCAAGTGGGGCATATTAAATGTTTGCTGATAAGAGGTGAACTTGTTTTTACTTCACTCATCCCCCTTCACTTCATCCTTACTTCTGAGCTAAGTAATCTCAGCTCAGAAATCTAAGATAATTAAATCGACCAATATATGCCTTGCCTGTTACCTCCTATGGACACTCATTCTACAAACACTGACGACCTCTGTCCCACACGTGTGAGAGCTGTGAACAAGCAGACCACAGTCTTCAAAGACTCCAAGGCCCAGGGGTTCAGATCCTGAGTCTTAGTGTCTGTTGGAGCACCATTTTCAAAGGGCCCTATAGAAACTGGCTTTGATGAACCCACACGGCCACTTCAGCACACGCGAGTCAAACCCCGGGGCTCAGGGGTCCCCTGAAGGCTGGTAAACTTTCTCTCCCGCCCTGACAAATCTGAGGCTGGGAAGCCAGGTACCCCCTGGGACTCTGACACAGCATCGTAGGCAGCAAAGAGGCACCAGTCTTGTCCCAACTCTTGCAGCCTCATGGACTGTAGCCCGCCAGGCTCCTCTGTCCATGGAATTCTCCAGGCCAGAATACTGCAGTGGGTAGCCATTCCCTTCTCCAGGATCTTCCCAACCCAGGGATCGAACCCAGGTCTACTGCACTGCAGGCAGATTTTTTTACCTTCTGAGCCCCAGGGAAGCCCAAAGAGGCACCAAGTTCCTGTAAATAATACCAGCTTTCTCAGCGGGAGGCAGGGCGGTGCTTTTTTGTCTCCCTTTATCAAGAGTGGATAATGGACTGGTGCCTGAATTCTATGTGCTTTTCATTCTTAGGCAGACTCTTACCATCCATTTAAATTTGTACATGTCCCTTCCCACTGGACGCATTCATAAAGGGGACTTGAGGAACGGTATGCTTCACCCTCGGGGATGACAGGCCAGGGATGACAGAGACACAGCTCAAACATTCTAACCTGCACTGCAGGAGGGCCGTATTGTGACTCTGAGGATTCAGAATCAGCCGGTTGCTCCTGGAATGCAGCATGACCCAGAGTCAGCCTGTAGCACCGTGTACCTTGCCTGTGTTCGTGTTCCTCTCTGGTCTGACAACATGGCAAGTAGGAGGTGCTGGCTTCTGTGCGGAATTTAGAGACGGGTTTTGTGCTCAGCTGCTGAGCTTTCTGGTGTTCAGCCACTGGAACATATGGAGCTGAGCTCCCTCCATGTTTGCAGGGTTGGGAGGAAGACGGTGGAAAAATGAAAGAGGTCTCCAAAGCACTTTTCCCCAACAAATGATTCCTCCAGCTTGAATGTGCTCCCCTAAGTGGACCATCACGCTGATTCGTGTGTGTGGCAAAGAGACTGAGACTTCAATATTCAGTCCATTAAGGGAATCACCACATAATGACTCTATTGAGTACTCCCTGCTATGGCAACCCACTCCAGTATTCTTGCCTGGAGAATCCCAGGGACCGGGGAGCCTGGTGGGCTGCCGTCTATGGGGTCACACAGAGTCGGACACGACTGAAGCGACTTAGCAGCAGCACCAAATGCAAGGGACTATGGGTAGCCATGCAAAGACACACAGAAATAAAATACAGAGCTCACTAAAATAACAATAACAAAAGCGAAGTTATAGACATATTTTTAAAGAACAAAGGAAAAGCAGTTAGTAAGTCTGTGGTTAATGAGTACATCATTCACAAGTGGTGTACAAATGAACTGACAGTCATGAGTTTAGGTGTCTGAGTGAGTCAGAGTGGCCCAGAAGGTTAAAGTCCAAATTCTTTTCCTGGGTCTAAGCAGACAATTTGAGATGGACGGAGTTGAGATAAGTGATGTGAGGGGAGGACAGTGCAAGGGATGAGAATGTGATGAGCAAACGTGGGGAGAAGATAAACAATAAACCCTGCAAGCAGATGAGGACCTGTCCTTCCAGAGCTGATTGCTTTCAGAAAGTAACATGACCTCGGACTCCTTGATGGGTTCAGTACCTGTCGTGCTGTAGAAGCATTCTAGCAAACTCTGGGGCAGAGAAAGAGCTCTGGAACACTGCACCAAGAATAGACAAGGCAAATAAGTGATCTGAAACATCTAACCCATCACTGCCTAGACAATACATAATCCTCTGCTTAGACAGACTAGAAGCACCTTAGAGCAAAGGTGTTCTGTTGTCCACTGAAAGCCCACCCCACCCCAAATGAGTAAATGCTTAAAATAATCATATTTAACTGACAATGAATAAACTCATGCAACCAAGGAACAAAAGGAGGTATAATAATAAGTCTGAGACGGACCTAAGAAATAATTTGATCCAGGCCCTGCCTTTTAACAAGTGAATCCAAACCATCCCAGAGAGGTTTCTACTCTCTTCTTAAATCTAGACAGATCAAAGACTCCCTCACTATGGCAAGAAATCATCTTGATGGTTAAGAAAATGTCCTCTATTTGATTCAACCAACATCGGTTAAACCTCCAATTGTAAGTCACTGGGGCTGTACCGCGGCAGAAGCAAAGCTATATTCAGGTGTTTCGTCTTCTAGAAGCAACAGCAAGCAGGCACACAGAGAGCTTGAACCCAAGGCAGTGAGCGAACTCCTTGAGGGCAAAGACTGTGTCTTTTTCATCTTTAAATCCCGAGAGCCTAGCATGATGACCAGCATACTGTAATTTCTCAATAAATGTTTGTTAAAATAAGAAAGACATGCAAAAGACTAAAAGAAAATGACATGGAAAGACGGATTCACAGTAATGCAGTTG